CAGGAGAAATAGCACGCTACGTCAGCTAGTCAGGAGAAATAGCATGCTACGTCAGCTAGTCAGGAGAAATAGCATTGTACGTCAGCTAGTCAGGAGAAATAGCATGCTACGTCGGCTAGTCAGGAGAAATAGCATGCTACGTCAGCTAGTCAGGAGAAATAGCAACGCTACGTCAGCTAGTCAGGAGAAATAGCATGCTACGTCAGCTAGTCAGGAGAAATAGCACGCTACGTCAGCTAGTCAGGAGAAATAGCACGCTACGTCAGCTAGTCAGGAGAAATAGCACGCTACATCGGCTAGTCAGGAGAAATAGCACTCTACGTCGGCTAGTCAGGAGAAATAGCATGCTACGTCGGCTAGTCAGGAGAAATAGCATGCTACGTCAGCTAGTCAGGAGAAATAGCATGCTACGTCAGCTAGTCAGGAGAAATAGCATGCTACGTCAGTTAGTCAGGAGAAATAGCATGCTACGTCAGCTAAAAAACGTCCCTTTGGTTTTAACAAAATGTGGCTTTAAGACGGAGGTGCTGTGTGTTCTCTGAAGAACTCACCTGCCTATCTCAGCTCTACTCTGGGACCATCGTGTCCGAAACCCTGGAGGGGAATGGATGTCAACACTAAATGAGATGACTCTTACATAACCTGGCTATATATCTGCCGGAAACAGATAGAAACCTGGCGAGAAAATACACTAAGTGTGGATTTGTTTACATGAAAGAGGTCTGACGTAGTCGGCTGTACAGGATAGACAGAGGTTGCGTCCCAAATGGCACCCTATTCCCTACATAGTGCACTACTTTAGACCAGATCCCTATAAGACCTGGTCAAATGTAGTGCACTATGAAAGGGAATAGGGTGCTGTTTGGGACAAAAAAAAACAGACCGTCTGGCAGAGTGAGTATTTTGAACCTCCAATTTGTCAGTCCCGTATCACTGACAAACAGCTCAGCTCAGCTCTGACTGAGACGGAAACGGAACACAGACAAAAGGTTCTCTATCGGCTTTGCCCTGTCCTTTGTTTCAAATACAGCACTGATGTTTGTGGGAGAGGAAGATAGGTGGAATTGAATCTTTGGTTCCACGTTAAAAAAACATCCAAAGAGATTGGATGTCCCTTTCGCACACTTACCTCAGCACAGACACTACTGTGCCATTGTTGTGCATTTCAACTTGGTACACTTCTATGGGAAGTATTTGTGGTTTTTTTTTTTGTTTTTTTTATCCAAAGGATCCACTAATCCTCAGTGTTCTTTATGTCGTTGGGTTTGGAGGGTTGTGGATTTGGGTGGTATTCTCTGGATGCTAGTGTATGAGTTAGAGAGCTCTTGCTGTGTGACTGGCTTTCAAAACAATGGATGATGTACCCTCAGTGGATGCTAGCTACTCTCTAGACTCTGACATTGAGTACTAGTTAGCTAGCTCGTACTGTGTGTTTTCAGCCCTGGATGCATTGTGTACCAGTTTGCTAGCTTGTGTTGTGTGCGGCTGTCCCTTGCAGTAGCCTGTCTTTTGAGGCTTGCGTACCAGTTAGCTAGCTCATTCTGTGGCTGGCCTTGCCTTGCCTTGCATCACTCTCTGGATGCTTACCTTGTTTACCAGTTAGCTAGCTCATTCAGAATTCCCAATGGCAGCCTGTCACACTGGATAGCTCTGGTGGAAGTGGTAGTGTTCCACGAGGAAGAGATGCTTTGAGCTCTGACACTGATCAGGTTAGCCAGTTCCTGTTTGCTCATTCCCCCACTTTACTTTTGTGTCTTTCTTTGCACAGTGTTTCCCCTAGGGGGAGGACACTTGTTTCTTCCGTAGTCTTTCCTGACCATGTGACCTTACATGTGACCCCTCTGTGTAATTATTAATGATAGCCCTTACTAGTTTGTTCAAGTGAAGTTGCATTGAAATACACTGTAACCTTCTGTCTCACTGATTTCCAGTATCCTTGACTTTTTCCACGTTTTCTTGTGTTACAGCCTGAATTTAAAATGGATTCGATTGAGATGTTGTGTCACTGGCCTACACACAATACCCCATAATGTCAAAGTGGAATTATGTTTACAAATTAATTAATAATGAAAAGCTGAAATGTCTTGAGTCAATATGTATTCAACCCCCTTTGTGTGCAATAATAGTTTTTGATTGACTACCTCATCTCTGTGCCCCACACATACAATTATCTGTAAGGTCCCTTAGTCGAGCAGTGAATTTCAAACACAGATTCAACCACAAAGAACAGGGAGGTTTTCCAATGCCTCGAAAAAAAGGGCACCTATTGGTAGATTGATAGCTGTTATTTACACTTTGGATGGTGTATCAATATACCCAGTCCCTACAAAGATACAGGCATCCTTCCTGACCATGAGGACAGTGGTGACATTAATGGCTATGATAGGAGAAAACTGAGGATGGATCAACACCATTGTAGTTACTCCACAATACTAACCTAATTGACAGAGTGAAAAGAAGGACGCCTGTACAGAATACAAATTATTCCAAAAACATGACT